CGTTGCAATATGCGTTTTGCTGCCTGTTGCAGCGCTCTAGCGCTGCACGGCAAAAACGCATAAAAAGGACACGATGGAATGAAGCAATAAAAAGAATAAACCTTGTAGGCATAACCCTGATTCACAAGAAAGCGCTGCCGCTTGCGCGAATAGCTCATTTCAACAGTGTCCTGAAAAGAAATACATCAGAAAGCATTCTACCATGCTCCTACTGTTAATACGGGTACCTAGAGTGTACACAAAATTAATTATATGACTAGCCGGATGGATTATTGCGATCAAATAACTACAATATTATATAATGCCAATAAAATTTCCAGTAGAAAAAAATTGCCTGTGAGACCAAAGAATAAAAGAAAGCATTGAATGCGTCGCTTGAATTTTTCTTGGCTCGTAATATTCGGCCCAGTCGTTGCGCCTCTTGCCTCCGTGAACCCCCCTGTGCTGATATTTGTATGAGAACATTGGCCTCGGGCAAATCAAACGACGTATCTGCTACCTAAAAAGAACAACTGTAAATCACAAGCGAACGAAACAAAAACGTTAGAACACTTCAAGAATTCAAAACCATCAAAACAATAACTGCTTTAAAAACCGCCCCACTATCTAACTTGGGTACAATCAGCTAGCCTGGTATGGGATTCCGACGTAGCACCACTTATAAAAAGAATTAAAAAAAACATTTATACAGAAATTGGCCCTTATCACTGGGTGAAATTTCTGGTCTTCGGGCCGAAATGATGTGGGGCGGCGGCGGGTCTCCCGTTTTGGGATTTCTTGCAAATAAATCTAATGATTTAAAGCTCTGGCAAGCGCTAGCAACAGTCTGACACTGAGATGAATTCTAAACGGAACAGTCCTCTCATTATAAATCAAAACATCTACTCTCATCCTGGAAGTAGCGGCTCTTACTATCTCACCAAATTTCCCAGCAACGTTTACCCGAAACAGCTGTGAATTCGTAGTCTGGTCTTATAATCTATGTAGTTGCAACTAGCGTGCAATTAAAAGTTGCAAGCAACCAAATTCCCAAGAAAACCACAAACCTTTGAGACAAATATTGTATTCACTTTTGGATTGTACTGGAAATTTTGTAAAATTTTCATGCGTTCATTTTGTCCCGTTTCACCATACAAAAATGGCTTGTCCATTTCGATAGCGTACTTCTTCAGCGCAAACACATTATCCGAGAAAACGATTATCTGTAAAAATGGGACGCTAGTACCGTCACTTCTCTGCGAATTCACATCAAAAAGTTACGCATAAACTTGAAGAAGACAATCGCAAAAGATGACCTTATCATTACGCCTTTCGTGATACTTAATGAGGAACTGGCATATGCGAAATTTGTTGGGATTCATCACTGCAAGAAGTAGCCGACGACCAATTTGAGCGCGCAAATAATACGAGTAGAATTCGGCACTCATCGGACACCAAACCTGAATTACCAAACATCAACAGCAGCACTTCCACGCAAAATGTGTATTTTAAACAATTACTAATTAACAGTCTCATTTTCGACTATGCAGCTCGCATCCTGAGCCAGTGTTGAATTGTTTGGTGGTCAGCTTCTTGATGTTTGCTCTCCATTACTAAAGGGA